ACACGACAGTCTCAGGCAAGGCACGGCGGAGGAACGCCCGGCGCTCCGTGGGCAAGCCTCTGCCAGTGGGGAGGTACTTTGCACCTGATCCAGGAAACTCTTGCAAAAGGGTAGCGCTTGGGGTTGTTCGAACCTAAGGTCGATCGTGTAGGATGCCCTCATGGAAAGCTTGACGATTTGGTAGGCCTACCGCGGATGATTTCGGCCCTCTGTAGTTTAGTTTTGCCCTTCCGAATCTGACAACTTGAGCTGACGCAATGCCTCCGAGAGTGATTTCGTTGGTGAGGTAGGTGCCGATAATCTTCGCCTGGCCGCCGAATGAACCCTAAACTCTAAACCCTAAACCCTAAACCCTGAACCCTGAACCCTAAACCCTAAACCCGAACTACTGTAGACACGAATCCCTGACCCGTCTGCAGTGTGGAAGAACAGGATCCTCTGCTGCAGACGTACCCAGACCTCTGGGGGGGATCCAAGAAGTAGAACTCCCAAATAGTACCCTACCCTCCTGCTCGGTCATTTTGAGGAACCCTTCAGTTAAGGGCATCTACTTGTTGGATCCTTCCAGAATTCTGGGTACAGCAGTTGTCTGAGCCAAGGCCTGAAAGACAAAGTGCAGGGGTGCCAGGGTGACCATCCTCGGTATGTAGGCCCAACCCCTTTTTTGGACCTCGCCCCAAGAGAACACAACGATGAGGGTGCAGCAGAAAAGGCATGTCTTGCTGGCTCTACTTTCCACTTTCGAAAAAAATTGCCATCATTCCCCACGATTCTCATGGAGAGGGTTTTGTGAAGGACTCGCCAGAAAGCACCAACGCCAGCACACTGAGCTGCAGTGCCCCAGTAAAGGGGCGGAGAATGTTTTTAGTATTATTTTGCTTTTTGGTATTTTGTTTTTTTTTCGTGGTCCCCTGGTCCCCTGGTCTCCTGGTGCCGCGGTCTGCTGGTCCCCTGGTCTTCCTAGGAAGGCTACATTCCCTTTTAAATTTTCAGAGGATTTGGTCGATTTTCTTGGTTTTTCCTAAAAAAAACCCACTCCCTCTATGTTTCCATCTTCTTTGTTTTTCCTACGAAAGCCTCCCTTCCCTCCATATCATCATATGGGACGCGTACTGCTTTTCGTAGGAATTCTTATAAATTTTGTTCGCAAGCTTGCACGGCTTTTTAAAGCGGGGAGTTGGGGGGGGGGGGGGGGGTCGCAGCCCCCACCATTTGCAGTGCTCGTATGATAGGTTTCAAAAAGACGCATATGCTTTGAATGCTTGCATGGCTTATACAACGAGGGGGTCGGGGCGCAGGCTCGGCGCAGCCCCCCCACCCCATTTGCAAACACAATGCTCGCATCATTGGCTTCAATCGTTTGATTCATATGCTTTGAAAAATGGCATGATGGGTTTCAATCTTTCATATGCTTTGAAAAAAGCTTGAACGGCTTAAGAAGCGGGGGGGTTAGGGCCTGTTAGGGGGGACGCCGCCAACACAATGCTCGCATGATTCAATCGTTCATATGCTTTGAATTACTAAAAAAAAGGCGGAGGGGGAAAAAACTTGAACGCTTAAAGAAGCGGGGGGTTGGGGGGGGGGGGGGGCACAGCCCCGCCCATTTGCAAACACAATGCTCGCATGATGGCTTTCAATCGTTTAATATGCTTTGAAACAAGCTTGCATCACTAAAAAGGCGGTGAGGTTGGGGGGGGGGGGGGGGGGCGCAGCCACCCCCCCCCCCCAATTTGCAAACACAATGCTCGCATTATGGGCTTTAATCGTTCATATGCTTTGAAAAAAGTGGCCTGATGGGCTTTAATCGTTCGTCTGCTTTGAAAAAAGCTTGGACGGCTTGAAGAAGCGGGTGGGGTAGCAGACCAGGGGACCAAGCGACCAGCAGACCGGGAGACCAGCAGACCAGGGGACCAGCAGACCAGGGGACCAGGGGACCAGGAGACCAGGAAAAAAAAAGTACAAAAACAAATGCCACAAAAATAGGCCCTCCACAGTAAATGGTCGGACAGAGGCTCTGCTTGAGAATGCGCAGGAAGGAAGCGACCGAACTGCTCTCAAGCCAGACCTGGGTCGGGGATCGAAGGTTTCGGACTTGGGGGCTTGCCTGCAAGACAAGACCCTAAACCCTAAACCCTAAACCCTAAACCCTCAACCCTAAACCCTAAACCCTAAAGGAGTGGCATCGAGCTCGAAGGGTCCAGGGAGGAAGGTTCAAGGCTGCATGCCGACAAATCATGCTCTAACTCTAACTACTGCAAGACATCAAAGGGTTCAGGGTTGAGGGTTTAGGGTTCATGGAAAAGAACGTAATTACTTGGCAACGCCTGTACCACGGACGCGCATGCAACATCGCAGGATCCATTTTCTTGGCCTTGCCGTGAGCCTTATCATGGGATGCGGGCTTCTGTAGAAGTGCATCAAACTGGCCTGGGCCGTCATTACACCGAAATGATGGCATACCTGTGGCTGAAGCTTGTTGTTCTTCTTGAGGATAACAATGTCACCAAGCTTTGGCTCGCCATCTAAGTTGTAGCTGTAGCTGCTCTCGCACCGACGTGCGCAGCCGTTGTACTGCCAGCGATGGCCCCTTCGGAATGGGCCTCCTCTTGGGGCAGGGGTTCCCGGCACATTTTGCTGCTCTGTCCTTGCAGGCATGGCATTGTCGCAGCCCCCACCTTGACTTTTCCCCCGCCCCGATCTCCACCTCCACAAGACTCTTTGCGTGCTGCCTGTGTCTCGTCTGGCACCGGCTTCTGCGCAGCCTGCTCCAATTCGTGCAGTACTAACCTTTTTGCATGGTGCGGCATGCACCTCAGGGGCATTCGGGGTCGCAGAAGGTACGGCAGTTGAGGTGACCCTGCTGCCTGTCCCAGTGCGGGGCGGACCCTTACCACAGCTGCCATCACTCTGGACAACGAACAACGAGGGTCTGGGGTGCTCAGTGTGTGTCGAAATCAAGCTGACATGGGCCACAGCCATGTCCATGATGTCAGTGGGCTCGGAGCAGCACAGACGAACTGTCCAACGGTGGACGAGGACATGGATTGGTGGTGTTTTGAAAGCCATTTCACCATGTATTTTGCAGCTGATGCATGCCGCTGTTGTACTGTAGGAACCTTTCAGAGGCAATTAGGGTTCGAGGTTGCGTGCTCGAGTGCCTTGTGTATGCCCTGTGTATCTAGCAGCGATCGACACGTGACAGATGCCGGCACGTGGACCTCGAAACCAATCAGCAAGTACCATTGGCCTGGTGGTGCATGCCTCGGCTAAGCCTGGCTATGTCCTCATCTCCGGACCTTCTTATCAACCCCGACGGCACGACGGCACGACGGCACCAGGGCCTGAGCTGCGGACTTGCATGGCCAACGGGGCTGTCTGCGCCACGATGAAGAGCATCAACAACCTTGAACAAACATGAAGCAAAGAGTAATGAGTAATGGAAATTTCAGGGGTTGTCCCCACCCGCCCTTCCTCCTCCCCCCCCCCCGCTGATTCAAGCCAAGATGCCAAGAGTACTGGGTGATGAGCATTCTTGCCACGATTTTGGCTCCCGTCTCGGTCTTGTCATCTGGTGCGGGCGGGTCCACATCGGCCATGCTAACTAGCTCCACCCCTGTGGCTGTGATTGATCTTGCCTGGCTGTTGCAGCTTTACCAGGATGGGCCATTATACCCTATAATCCTTTAAAAGGCCCTTTATAGGGTTCATTATGGGGAGTTTAAGGCCTCATAGCCCATCCTGGTACAGTCCTTGCCTGCATTCATGGCGGGGAAATTTTGCTCGGGGTCGTCGAGCACCACGAGCAGCCAAATGAAGACGAGCAGCGGAATACCTTGTTGCAGCCGCAGCACGTCCGATGCTTGACACGTATGTGACCACCAAAAGACTGCAACTACAAGTATCATGAGGAGAATACAAGGCAGTAAACACGAATGATCACTAATAGTCACTAACAAGCACGACGTCGGAATCGTTTTTTTTTTTTGCGGGGGCTCCGGTCGCCTCCACAGTCCGGCCACTACTCCAAAAATCAGAACTGCATTGAGCCAGCACTTCTACCGTCAGCGCAGGTGAGGGCAAGGGGCTCTTGGAGAGGAAGAACTGCGTCAGGTAGTACCCCGCATGTGCGTAATAGAACCTGACAGCTGCCAACACAGCCCTGTCATCATGGACTTGCGTGCCTACTATGGGATCACCAACTTTCCTGAGGTCTGGTTCGGATCCGATCCCTAGCCAGAATAAAGTGATGCCAGCGTAGACCCTAAACAGTGCAAGACCCTGACGATGGCACATTGCACATGCCACACGCAGGAACACGACCCAAGGCCCAAAAGCGACGACAAGTCTAGGTGGGTGGGCCGGCGGTTCTTGTGGACGTTGATGACGGCTGTAGTGGGCACATGCGCTTTGTGCCATCGTCCATGATTCATCACGAGGGATGTCAGGTTTTTAACCCATGCAGGAGTCGCGATTGACATGTTCTTCACCAGCAAGGGCTGCTTGACAAAATCACTTTGCTTTGCAGAGCTGCCCCTGATACAAAGCAAACTACTTGTGGATGCCGCTCCTGCTCCCTGCATAAAGCCACGGCCCGCATGTTGCTGCGCAGTGTGGCTGGTCTCCTAATGTCTCCTACTTTCCCTCTGAAGCTCTCTCTCTCTCTCTCTCTCTCTCCCTCCCCTCTCTCTCTTCATGCTGGCGAGTTGCGTCAGGAACTCGGGCAAGTCCTTAGGGGATAGGATTAGGGGGACCCTTGGGGAAAGAGACCCTCTGAATAAGGTCCCTGCTTAAGAGAGCCAGAAGAGGGTCAAGAAGGGGTTCCCTTTCAAGGGCCCCCGTTATCTTACCCTGAAACCCATATGAAAAGTCGTGAGGTGCAGCTAGGCTAGCAGTCCGCCACGCACTGTGCAGCTGGACTGTCGTTGTCGCATCGAGCCACTGAGCTGCTGTCGATGGTTTAGGGTTTAGGGTTTAGGGCTTAGGGCAAAAAGCAAACTGTCTCACAGACCTATTGCTGAGTTCAGGGCCAGCTCGTTCCCCAGCCGTGCCATCTGCCGCGTCAACATCTGCTCGCCCGTGCCAGCCGAGAGTTTGGAAAAGAAGGTGAGGATCTCAGAACAGCTTCGAAGCGGTGCTGCTACTGTAGGGCAAGAACGCGGCACCTGCAGTCTCATGCTTCAGCTCAGGCGCTGTGTTGAAGCCCAGGTCTCTGCCTTTGGCCACATGCAGGTACCTGTGGTGGCAAAAAATTTTGCAAGAACGTCGACTTCTCCAACCAGCAAACTGCAAAGCATCCCTGAGAGACACAGTCCAGCCCAGACAGGTCTGCTTCACAAAGACGCGCATTCTGCCAAGACGCTCGCGGTGGACAATGTTGCGTCCATTGCCTCGCAGTGTGAGGTCCATCCCTGCAAAGATGTCCTGCCATGACGAGCGCGTGACAATTTTCACACAAGACGCGTCGCTGGGGCGACTGCACATTGGGCATGTTGCTGTTGATGTACAATAACTTGTTCAATGCGGACCCATGAGCAGCCTGCAGCGAAAAAAACAGTATCTTCAACTCGAACCTCACCAGTAATCCAGAATCTTGCACTGTCCTCGGACAAGTTTACTGTCTTCGTAGCTTTCGAGATGCCGCCCTGCTGGATCATGACCTCTTTGTTCATCATGTCCTCAAGCTGCTTGAAGCATTTAAGGTGCGTCGAGGGAGAGCGGCGGGCAGAGAGCGCAGAGCAACACTTGAATCGAGACAGCAAGCCACACTCAGACTCATGAACCCATGTGTACCAAAAAAACCCTTCTTCAACCAAAAAGCGCACAGTGTAAAGCAAGGAAAAGGCAGAGCGCAATGGTGTGATGATGATGATGCTGCTGCTGCTGCTGCACCATACCCAATACCGGCATAGCATTGCCAGAAGCCCTAAGGCTCGAAACCCAGGACCTTCCGCCTCCATGCATCTGAATTCCTGGCCAAGCATCAGGGTGTCCATAATGCATCCGCGCCCCCAGGAGCGCCTGAAGTCGGAACTGCGTGCTTGCCATCGCAGCTTTTCATGCCAGGTCTAGAGTCTGGATGGCTTAGAATTCGCACGGTTACATCCGAAGTCATCACCCAAGGCACATATGACCGCTGAAGAACAGTCCCGAAGGCTGTCTCGGCACCAGCAGCAAAGTCGCCAAGCGAGCCAATGTCGCCTTGGTGACGTCTATCGCTGGATGGCTGCTGAAGAATATTCGACTGAGGGAGGGTGAGCTCAATTGTTGCAGGTTGTGTCAACGAGGTGTCAATGAGTTGATTCCGGGTCCAGAAAGAATTTCCCAGGATCCATGACACTTCATTGTTTGAGAAGAAAAGAAAGACCCCAACATCGAAAACGCTACATTGACGCAGAGCGGATATGGCCGACGGGATGTCCAAATCTCGACTCCTTCTGCCAAGTCCGTGAGCCAGAGCCTCGCCACTATGATGAAACCCCCTCCCAAACCCTGTGAACCCTCGACGCCCTGTCAACCCTGGAAGCCCTGTGGGCCCAAAAGTGACTGCGAACCCCTACACGACCCCGTGAACCCTACAAGCCCTCTATAAACCCAGAAACACAGAACCCTCTATAAACCCAATAAACCCTTTATAAACCCTCTAGAAACCCACAAACCCTCTACGCCCTACAAAGCCTACAAGTTTCACCCCGAGCGGCTGGTGATATGCTCTGCAAAGCCCACGATTCGCGGCTCGAGGCCTGCGGGCGATTGAGGGTCTGAGATGGTTTGAGGGTTTGAGGGTTTAGGGTTTATAGGGTTTGGGAGGGTTTAGGGTTTGGGAGGGTTTAGGGTTTGGGAGGGTTTAGGGTTTTGGGTTTTGGGTCTTTACTAGGGTAACTAGGGTTGAGGGTCTGTACTAGAGCAACTAAAAATTTAGGGTCTGTGCTAGGGCAACTAGGGTTTAAGGGTCTGTATTGGGAAAGCTAGAGTTTAGGGTCCTTACTAGGGTAACTCGGGTTTAGGGTTAAGGCATTAGGGTTTAGGGTTTAGGGTTTAGGCTTTAGGGTTTAGGGGGGTTCAGGTTTCGGAGGTTGGCGGCTTCTTGCAGGGGAGCTATTTCAGCGGCTTGGCCTCCCATTTTGCGGTCACGTTTTCGGAACTCCCCCAGCGCACAGGGAAGCCTCGGAAACAGCTGATCCCAAAGGGTTTAGGGTTTAGGGTTTAGGGTTTAGGGTTTAGGGTTTAGGGTTTAGGGTTTAGGGTTCGGAGAGGTCTAGGCTCTGGGCTCGGACTGAAGCATGCTGGGGAGTGCACAGCAGCATCTGCTCGAAGTATCCGCCCTGGTTGGCATCAATGGCCTTTCACGGTATTTCGAGACACGACCGAATGACAAGCAGAGTGGTTACCATAATAGATGGGGATGGTTCCCCCTTATGTGGGTACTAGAATCCCTACTACGGGCTGTCTGTTACTTAATATAAGGGCGACCCCCCAAACGATAGAAAGAATTCGCAGAAGCATCTAACCCTAAACCCTAAACCCTAAACCCTAAACCCTAAACCCTAAACCCTAAACCCTAAACCCTAAACCCGAGAGGGGTTTTTAGTTCGGAAGTATGGCATGACGGGGGCCTGGATGATCGACCCACGCGTGAAGATGATCCTCGCAGCGCTCGATTGTGCTGGCGGAAGCAACCACTGCCCACTTGTCTCAAAAACCTGAACCCTAAACCCTAAACCCTAAACCCTAAACCCTAAACCCTAAACCCTAAACCCTAAACCCTAAACCCTAAACCCTAAACCCTCAAGCCAATGTGTAAACTTGAACTTATTCCTTCCTTTTCTTGGAAGGCCGCTTTTGCTGGTGCGGTGCAAAGTTGCCGGCTTCTTTTTGTTTGGGTTTGTCGTCAGTTGCTTTGTGCCTGCGTGGGCGAGGAGGTTTTTAAGTAAATCGAACAAAGAAGACTGTTGGGCTTTGTGCAGGAGGTTTAAGAAAATTGAACATTTCAGCACTTTGGAGCTGTTTGAAGCTTCTCAAGTCCTGGGCAAAGCCACCCGGTGCCTTTTGCGCTCTTTGCTGTGGGCCTTGTGGAACCAATTTGGGCCTTCTGAGGCCAATTGCCAATTTTGGCCTTCTGAAGCCAATTTGGCCAAGTTTAAGCCTTCTGCAGTCAATTTGGAATTTTTCCTTCTGAAGCCGATTTTGGGCCTTCCAAAGCCAATTTGGGCCTGAAGCCAATTTTGGCCTTCTGAAGCCAATTTTGTGCGTTCTGAAGCCAATTTGGGCCTTCTGAAGCCAGTTTGGGCCTGAAACCAATTTTGGCCTTCTGAATCCATCTGAAACCAATTTGGGCCTCTCAACCAATTTGGCCTTCTGAATTTGGGAAGCCTGCCTTCTGAAGCCAATTTTGGGCCCTTCCGAAGCCAATTTGGGCTTGAAACCAATTTTGGCCTTCTGAAGCCCTCTGAAGCCAATCTGGGCCTCTGAAGCCAAGTTTGGCCTTCTGAAACCAATTTTGCGCCTTGAGAAGCCAAACTTGTGGCCTTCTGAAGCCAATCCGCCGAGCTTGGCGGCGTGTTGGATGGGAAAAGGAGGTAAAAACCTCCCTCTTTCCCTCCTTACCCCCCCAGAACGCGGGTGGGGGGGGGGGTAAGGGGGGGTACCCGGGCAGCTTTTCCATGGAGGGCAGGCCACCCACACCGCATAAACTCACAGACCATAGGCGGTTTCGCACAGGACCCCCACCCCCCCCTACCCCCCCCGACCCCCCCCCGTACCCCCCCGCCTACCCCCCCCCACCCCCCCCTACCCCCTCTCTCGGTTGTTGGGCTTGAATTGCCCTCCCTGTTTGGGTCCTGGTGCTACCCCCTACCCCCCCCCCCCCAACGTTTCACAGAGGCTCAAGCAAATCAAGCTTAAACCTTTCAACTATGCTCCAGCGGGGTCGGCGGCTTGAGCCGGAGGCTCTTAAATTTTATGCGTTCTGAAACTAATTTGGCCTTCTCAAAACAAATTTTGAGCCTTCTGAAGCCAATTTGGGCCTTCTCGAGCCCATTTTCGTCTTGAAACCAATTTGGGCCTTCTGAGGCAAATTTTGGCCTGCTGAAGCCAATTTTGGTCTGCTGAAGTCAGTTTGGAATTTTGGCCTTCTGAAGCCAATTTTGGCCAATTTTGGCCTTGAAACCAATTTGGGCCTTCTGACGCCAATTTTGGCTTGAAGCCAATTTTGGCCTTCTGGAGCCAATTTTGGCCTTCTGAAGCTAATTTGGGCCTTCTGAAGCCAAGTTTGAGTAAGCCTTTTGAAGTCAACTTGGAATTTTGGCTTTCTGAAGCCAATTTTGTGCCTTCCAAAGCCAATTTGGGCCTCCTTCTTTCTGAAGCCATCTGAAGCCAATTTTGTGCCTTCTGAAGCCAATTTGGGCCTCTGATGCCTTTTCAAGCCAATTTTGGCCTTCTGAAGCCAATTTTGGCCCTCTGAGGCCAAACCAGCCTCTGTCACCAATTTTGGCTTCTGAAGCCAATTTTGGGCCTTCTGAAGCCAATTTTGGGCCTTCTGAAGCCAATTTGTGCCTCTGAAGCCAATTTTGGGCCTCTGAAGCCAATTTTGGGCCTTCTGAAGGAAGTCTCCTCGAAACTCCTCGAAACTCCTCGAAACTTCCCCGGACCTGAACCCTTAATAAGTTCAATAAACCCTAAGCTATGTTGCAGATCAGCCGCGCATGGTTCTGGTTGTCGCCCTTGCCATCTCCAAGGATTGGGAAGCCTCGGAAACTTCACTGGGCTTGGCGTGGTGCCCCTGAAGGTACCGATGCGTACGTCCGGATATATACATATATAGAGATAGAAACATATATAGACAGAGAGAGAGAGAGAAATTAAAAAAACAAAAAAAATGTATATATATATATATATATATGTATGTGTATATATATATATACATACACACATGCAAATGATGTCTCTGGTCAGCTGGAGCTCTGGGTTCAGGTGGTTGGGTTTAGTCTAGGGGTTTCAGGAGGATGAGCTCACAAGTAAACAAAAAACCTCCTTCTCCTGAGCCCAGAATGTCGTGCTCAAAGTCACCCTAAACCCTAAACCCTAAACTCTAAACCCTAAACCCTAAACCGTTCCCATTACAACCGAATCTCTGGAAGCCCAAGTTACTTACTCATATTCCCTCTCCGGTTCCTTCGATTCCTACGGTTTCCTGCTGCCACTGCTGGTACAGCTGGCTCTGCTCCTTCTCCTCAGTTTTATCATGCTAGGGGTCTCCGTTCTGTCCTGCTGAGTATTCTGTACCCCTAAACCCTAAACCCTAAACCCTAAACCCTAAACCCCAAACCCTGGCGCTCAAGGCACCCGGGAGCTCGATCTTCAATCGCGGCTTCCGGCGCTGAGGGTTGTCGACCTGGCTAGAAGGCACAGTTGTTGAGGGTTTAGGGTTTAGGGTTTAGGGTTTAGGGTTTATAGGGTTTATAGGGTTTATAGGGTTTATAGGTTTTATCGGTTTTAGGATTTTCAGACTCTGGGGCTAAGGGATATTTAGTGTATTTCAGACAGGAACACAAACGTTCTTCAGCCCAGCGCCTCGTGTTCACAGTTCGCGTCAATGAGGCAGCTGTAGTAGCCTTCAGGGTTATATGGTGCACAGCAAGCTGGTCCAAGAGCTACCGGAAAATCTCACCTGTTCGATTGAATGACAAGGACAGACCTTAGAATCCGGAACACAGTCGCAAGACGCGCATGACACAAAACAAAGTGGACCCAGCAACCACTGATTGCGACTGCCTCAGGCGGGAAAAGCCTATGACTCCCAACTCTGTGATTGGGTCTCAGAATGTATGGGGCGCAAGCAGCGCAAACTTCGCCAAGCAACGTCGCTCTTGTTTCGGGTGAACATTGTCCACCCCCGCGCGATCACCTTTGAGCGCATGGTCAATGAAGGCTATCTGGAAGCTCCTGTGCAACGTGGGATTCTTGGGACACTGTGTAGTCCTGTCTCTGCAACAGGATCAGTGGAGGCTATGCAGGTTCGAAAGAGCTGTGAAGTCTTGCCTGTCACGATCCGGCGCACGTGCAAGAAGCTTGCAACTCACTTTAGCTAGACACTAGATTCTTCAGATGCTTCAACAGCAGCGAAGACGTGTCTTCATGGCCCTTGCGGGGTCCTGGGAAACTTTTCCAGCAGCTTCTCGGTGTGCAAATACTGAATCTCCTGCATGGCCAACACTATACGGCGTAGGTATGCGTCAGTTGTGAAGCTCTTGAGTGAAGCTCATTGGTATCCCCTTCCCACTCCACCACGAAGCCCAAAGAAGACTTTGGCAGCCTCTGCTGCAGCCGGGCAAACTGAGCTTGGCATGGCAAGGTGGATGGTTTAGGGTTTAGGGTTCAGGGTGCAGGGTGCAGGGTTTAGGGTTTAGGGTTTCGGCTCCTCAAAGAAGGCATACATCTGCATCGACACCATGCAGGTGAAGACCTGGACCAGCGAAGCTGCAGAGCTGTTCTCTTACGGGTGCCGGAACGCAAGCACGAGCAAACCAGTGATGCCCTCAGAGCTGACGGAATTTAAATAAGGCTTTTGAAGGGCATCAGACAGATAGATGGATGAGTGTACGCAAGACAAGCTCTTCCCTGACCAAGATAGAGGGATGAACTGCCATGCTTCGACATGCAGTGGCCATCGATCTTGAAGCTCCGCGCCTCGCTCGGGTCCCATTTCATGGCAGAGTCCCGGTTCTTCTCCTCGACCATCTGGTGGAAGCACTCGAGTGCAGGGAGGTAGTACCTGGGCGAACAGGGGAGCAGCGCACAAGCAGCATACAAGGGATGCAGGGTCTAGGGTGGTCCTAGAAGTCATATGCGTAATAGTAACCATAGCTGGCAACAGCAACAGTCAGAGTGGTTCCCATGGTAAAAGTTGACCTGGCACAGTGAAAGCAAAACGAGTAGAAAAAAGAATAGTGACAGTCATAGTGTTTGTCATAGAAAGAACAGCCATCGTGACCCCGTGAACAGCAGAGAGTTGATGTAGCTGAACACTGCAACTAGAACGAGTGAATAATATTGCCAGGTGGCAAGTGCTTAGTGAGCACTGCAAAGGGACTGCACGTACTGTTGGAAGGCCTCTCCCTACTACGGTTGCTTTGGCAAGCTGAATCCATACGCCCAACAACTTGCAACAAACGAGAGGTCCGAGCCGCATGAGACCCACCACGGTGCGCCAGAGGGTCTGTGATCGCATGGAAGCCCAACCGCAGAGTTTCGTCCAGTGGCCCTCGTCCGTGTACTGGTCCCTTGCTGGGTGTGTGATCTAGGAGCCTGAATAATTAGAATGGGGTCTTGGGGGTGATGATGGTATACTTATAAAGGGACCATAAGGGGATACCACGAGTAAATTTTCCGACCCCTTTCTTGGGCAAATTTGGCTTGCGGTTGGCTCGCTGGCTTTTGCTGCTCTGTGGGACCGGCCCGCTCTTCATGGGAGCTTCACCAAGACGTCGGGCCAGACATGTCAAACCGGGGTAGAGGCGGAACACATGCAGCACATGCACTGGGGATGCAGGCACGAGGCCACCGACTTCCCGCATCAGGCCACGTACTGTCTGAACCCTTCGTTCGAGACGTAAAGGCCAGAAAGTCATCGTGATACCTTCAGCGGTCATAAGGCGCTGTGGCGCGTGTGAAAGCATGGAAAACGTGGTGGATGCAAAGTTCTCCCTGTGCAGGGTTGGGTTTCGGGGCGATCTTTGGCTGCACCGCACCTCTTCTCGAGCCATGAGATCAGCGGCACCTCCTCCCCAGAGTTGGTGGTGGTAAACTCCAGCTGGCTGGAGCGCCTCCCCATCATCCGTGCCTGCCGTGGCCAGTGAGCTGTCAAAGACCTCCAGAACCTTTTACCGCGAAAGCTGCCAAGCAACATGTTGGATCCAACCCCGCCCTTTTGGTAGAAAGCTTCTCCAGACCACATCATGTCCCAGAAGTCCCAAACCAGAAAACGTGCAGCCATGCGGGGCCGAAGAAGGCCAAAAGCAAACACAAAGAAATGGCGATGAGGGCGCAGCCGATTTTCTTGAGGTCCTCCCGGTCTGGCCAAACTTTTCAGCCCCTGGACCCTAAACCCAACAGCCACAAGGCCTCCCGCGGAGCGAAGTCGGGATGGAGGTCCTTGGCTCGAATCTTCTTCGCCGCACAAAACGCACGGTGCCACCACCTAAGGCGCTTCTCAGTCTCCGGCCTTTTTGGTCAGAAGAATCTGCTCGCCATAGTGAGGGATCAGCACCTCTCTCCCGCAAGGCTCGGCTTTAAGGTCACCAGAAAAGGGGCACACATCACCCGAGGTGCCGACCGTGAGCCCTGGGATGTAAGGCGTCATGAAGGGTCGGGGCAAGTCCCCAGATGCCAGGTTGCCTTAGTCAAGGGAGCCAGAAGACATGGGAAGGGATTGGGGGGAAAATCGCAGAACAGTCGAAGCGCACGTCCGCAACATCACTCCTGGAAGACTAGGAAAATCTGTTCTGTTGTTATATTATTAGAATAATAGCATATTTTACTATATTACATTGGCACATATTATATGATAGATTCTTAGATTCTTACTGTATAGTGTATTATTGTCATACTATGCTGTTGTTATTGTATGTTTCTTATGTTGTCATCTTGCTGGCAGCCCACAAAAAGGTGGCCTCCCATTGCCCTAAACCCTAAACCCTAAACCCTAAACCCTAAACCCTAAACCCTAAACCCTAAACCCTAAACCCTAAACCCTAAACCCTAAACCCTGGCATGGGGCGTGCGAAGGCATTGAGTCGCCACTGGACCTGCGCAGGTGCTCTGAAGGATATTTTGGCAGCTATATATTGTATGTTCTACAGAATATAAGTATACAATTTTCTAAATTGTATACTATATACTACATACTAGATATTGCATCTTGTACATTATTCCAAATTTCATATTGCACATTTTGAATTTTCATGGTATAGTATAAAATATCCTATACAAATTATGTGCATAGGTTCGGGTGGTTTCACTACGGTTGCCTTGCAGGAAAAATCTCGCAGAGAGAAAGAAGCGGATGAAACTTGCAAATATCTATATATGTATATACATATACACACATATGTATATATATATATATATATATATATACATATAAATATAAATATATATATATATAGATATATGTATATATGCATATATATATATATATGTATATATATATATATATTCAGAAAATACGAACAAGAAATGATGACAATATTAAAATAATAATAATAATAATAATAATATAATACTAATAATAATAAGAAGAAGAAGAATTGAAAGCTGTGGCACCTCCGTGCTCCACGGCCACGTGTCTGTTGGCAGAACGCCTGGGTTTTAGGGTTTAAAGTTTAGGGCTATAGGGCTTAAAGTTTAGGGCTATAGGTTATAGGGCTTAGGGCTTACAGCAGGGTGGGTTTTTGGGTTTGATTAGGCTTCAGGGTTTGGGGGGTGGGGTTTAGGGTTTAGGCAGGGTTGAACTCAGGGTTTAACAAGGTCTGCTGATGGGAGCCCCTGTGGAACTGCTTGCGGCCGGAGATGCCAAGATCTCGCTCCAGACTCCTCCATTCAGGGCAGCCAGTCAGTCAGGAAGCATGTTTCTTGAAAGCTTGGGCACAGAAGACGAAACCGGAAAAGACCACCGTCCAACAAACCGCCATGAGTTCGGCTGGCTTCTGATGGGCTGAGTTATTCCACCGAATGCGCCAGGCACAGGGGTGGCCTACTTAGACAGGCTTCCCAAGTCCACATGAAGAGCGCGCCCAGCCTTTGACCAAAGTTCATGACATCGAAGATCGGTGGTGGTGAGAAGCGCTGCCGCCTCTTCAACGGCCTGACCGTGCATACGGGCCAGAGGGCCAGAGGAGCAGAATTGCGCACTTGAGCCGTACCATCCCAACACGGCTTTGTAAGAATTCATCCTGCACCCGAATCCCTGATCCCACCAAAGAGCATCTTGGTCATCCTTGAGAAAGCCACTCAAGCAAGGTTTCGAAGCTCTGCTCTTGCCGCCTTGCCTACCCTACTGTGCATGCCATGACAACACGACAGCAGCAACACTGGCGGTAGCTTGCATTGAAAGTTTGTAGTTACCAGTCAATAGTTCGGCAGCTTGGGTGTGCCGGCACAGTAAGGAAGAGGGGCAGCTCGGAAGTGTGAAAATCTGTCAGAATCCAAACCTTCAACCTCCTTTCTCAATCCGAGGAGAAGCAATGCATTGGGAAAACTTCATGAACACCGACACATGCTTCCTTGGCTGAGGTGGCCGTGCACTGCTGGCATTCATTACTGGCTTGCATCGGCCCGGCCTGTGGACGCTTTCCTGAGCATGCATGCTGAATCTGACTATCTCGAAATGGCCGATGTTCATGCTGGCTCGACTCTTTCAGAGTATTTCCAGCCGCATGCAGCCTCTGCATACCAATAAGACCTACATGAAGAAAGACTCCACAGTCTGGAGCAAGCAGACGAGGATCTGGTCTCCTTTCCCCACAACGCACCACGCCCGCCCCTTCCTCCCTTTGGTTGGGAGCTGCCAGCCGATTCCGAGGGGGCCAGCTGAGACGGTCTACAGAGGGTGGTGCAATAATTGTGGAAAGTGGTTTTGGCTTACGAACCCCCTTGACAGAAAACACACGGTGGCTTCTTGGCAACTCCCACCACCCTACCCAAGCTTCACTTGGAAACAAGCCGACGAACACCCCCCTGCCCACGCTTCACTTGGCACAAGAGCACAGACAACAAGTGCACCGAAGGTTTTGCACAGCCTGATGACACTGCAAGCCTGAACTGCTGATCAAGGTAACAGGGCTTCTGGGGTCCTCCAGTGAGCCTAGATTATCTTAGATTCAAGGTTTTAGGCTTACGGTTTGCTCTCCGGCGTCTTCTCCTCGACCGAGGCGTGTACGTGGTGTCACAGAGAACTGACCGCGTAGGAGCTGGTTAAGCGAGCTTGGCTCAGTCAGGGAGTCCAGGTCTGGCAAGATTCCCACGAGACGGTCGGACCTTCGCCCACAACCGTGAACTTCATCTGTCCTGAGCCACATACGAGGTGGACAGGCCCGGCACCAAAGCTGCTGCACTTGTCCTTTTGCGATTGTGCGCACCAAGCTGCCGATAATGAAGTCATCCAACTTGTCTTCGTAGCGCATGTAGTCAATGATCCGGTCCTTGTGGCTACAGAGAGGGCTTGGACAGGTGTGGAAGATTCGCAAACATCCAGCTGGTATCGACAACTAGCCTGATGCTTGAAGCGGCAGAACCAACACCACCTGGCAAAGTTACAGCGACGTACCCGTCTCAATCCCAGAGCAGAATCCGAGAGCCTGGAACCTACCCCGAAGAACATCAACCTACGCAAACATACTCCCCATCCCCCCCAAATCCTAAATCCTCAACCCCAAAACCTAAAGAACCTGAAACCCGAAAAACCCTAAACCCCAAAAAACAGCCTGCAGACATCTGGGCCGCCGGCCCAGAGGTCGGGAAAGAACTTCTGAAACCACTGGGACTTGGCAGTGGCACGGGGAGGCGGCACGGAGCCCTGAGCAGCGAAATGGCGTCTCTGGGGGGACTTTCTCGGAGCTCTCAGGACTTTTTTTTTGTTGTAGGATTCCCTCCTCTTCCTAGTTTATAGGTAGGGAATTGGGAAATTCAGGTACCCGATATGGTCTGAATTTCCTTACTAAGAACCGTCGCTGGGTTCTTCTGCATGTTTACACGATTGAGGCCCCTCCGGAGAACCAGGTGGGGGCATGGAAGGCACCTGTTGCGATGCACCTCCGTTTGCAGCAGGCATCTTCTTGACAACCCGGGGCGGTTCGGGGATCTGCCGGTTTAGGGTTTAGGGTTTAGGGTTTAGGGTTTAGGGTTTTGGGTTTAGGGTCCCGGGCTCCTACCCCGCCGCAGACTGAGAGCATGGGCTCTTTTGGAAGAGCGCATGACCCTCTTGAGGCCGGTGGAGTATTGCATCCCCCGCATCTAAGTCCTAAACCCTAAACCCCAAAATCCCCCTAAAAAACCCCCCAAAAATCGCCCCAAAAAATCCCCCCCAAAAATCCCCAAAATCCCAGAAATCCCAAAAAAACCCAAAAGTCCCCCCAAAATCCCCCCCCCCCCCCAAAAAAAAAAAATGCCAAGCCCAAGCCTCACAGAGTCGAGCTCGATGCTGCCGTCCCTCCGGCGCTTCGAGAAGGACCTCAGGCTTGGCGCGTCTTAGAGGCGAACATCGGAACCTGCCTTGGGTTTAGGGTTTAGGGCTTAGGGTTTAGGATTTAGGGTTTAGGACCCGTCTTTGCCGAAGGAGGCCTTACAGAAGGGTCCCCCAAAAAGGAACCAATTCTAGGATCCAGAAACAAACCCAAAACCCTAAACTTGCCCTAAACCCTAAACCCTGAACCCTAAAACCCTAAACCCCACCCAAAAAAAACACTCCAAGCCGCTCGCTCCGCGAAGCGCTGCGGGACGGCAGACAAGGCATCCTCCGTCAGGAGCTGGTGAACGCCTGGGGGTATAGGGTTTAGGGTTTAGGGTTTAGGGCTTAGGGCTTAGGGCTTAGGGTTTAGGGTTTAGGGTTTAGGGTTTAGGGTTTAGGGTTTAGGGTTTAGGGTTTAGGGTTTAGGGTTTAGGGTTTAGGACCAGTGGCCGGGATCGCAGACCTCCAGGGCGAGACATGGGCCTAAATGGGAGGTTTACGAAAATAAGGGATCCCCAGTGTCGACCCCCCAAAGCGTAGGATTCCCTTAGACAGAATAAGGAGGGATCCCTAGTATAGACCCCCGGTAGGATTTCCTTATAGTAAGGACGACAATCAGGAACCCCCCGTAATATTTCGGAGACCCCTAGGGTTGAGGGTTTAGGGTTTAGGGTTTATCTCCTGCTCCAGCGCTTTTGCACAGAGCCGAGAGGCGCCAGCCACGCTGGTGAAAGGCCAGGAGCAAGCCCAACACCGAGCAGCCCAGGCAGAACCAGAATTGGGTATCGGCCTGGGCAAAGGACTGGTCCTAAAGGTCCCCCCAATTTGTTAAAGGTTCGGCTTTTTAAGGTTTTTGGGGTTTGCAGGGTGGCGGTTATCAAAAATCTGACTGCCATGGATTGCAGTTTGCTAAGAACAGTGCTGGCCGTGTCTAGCTCATGATTCTGCCACCAGGTCGCCAGGTAGCACACCAGGCCAGTTCCCCAAAGCGCCACCCACTCAATGATGTCCTGATGTATAGTAGTATAGTAGTATAGTAGTATAGTAGTATAGTAGTATAGTAGTATAGTAGTATAGTAGTATAGTAGTATAGTAGTATAGTAGTATAGTAGTATAGTAGTATAGTAGTATAGTAGTATAGTAGTATAGTAGTATAGTAGTATAGTAGTATAGTAGCATAGTAGTATAGTAGCATAGTAGCATAGTAGTCTAGTAGTCCTGTGACCATGTGCTGTGCATGACAGCATGCCGTCCAAGCAGTCTGCAAGATTCCATGCAAGGGCTTCGGATGTCTCCACGCTGGCGATCCTTGTCCCAGTTGGGGCCGAAGGCAAATCGAGGAAGATCTGCTACAGATTCTCGTCCAAGGCGGCTGATCTTGGGCAGCGGGGATTGAAGATAATTCCGAACACTCTATTGGTGGCGGTGGCTCTCCCACAGCCTGCCAACCTTTCAATGTCCAACGTACGTGGGACCCCCTTACTGAAGTTCAGTGCTCAACTGGACAACCCAACTCACAACACGCGGGAGAAGACAATGAAGAAGAAACTGCAACATGTATAGCTTCAATCAGATGCATACCCCATCTCCATATGCTGCCAGTGGCTTGAGGGGCCCCTCGTAGCTACCTGACTTTGCCACTGAGCCATCGGACCGAGCTTGCGTGCTCGTTGGAAAAGGTGTGAGAGCGTGGAGCTCTTGGTGCACTGAAGTGTGGAGACCCTGTTGAGCCCGATACGCCCCTACCATTGCAGCACCCGCTGCATTGGTAGCGGAGCAGTCACGCTCCAGGACCACGACGCTACCGAAGCAAGTTTTGCTGGTGGCGCTTTCGGCTTTGTGGACAGCCGTGCTAGGACTTGGCCATCGAGGTGAAGATTGTCCACATCTACCCGGCCATTGTCCGCCTGCCCCTCCACGGCAGTTTTCTCCGTGTTTTCCGTTTTGCTTTACAATTTTCCAGAAGGAGGACAAGATGTCAGATCGTGATCATGCAGTGCCTGCCTGGGACGGGAGTGCACGCTCGTGGCGGCGCTACACCCGTGAAGTTGCTTGGTTTGTGCAAGCCACTCCAGTGCACAAACGAAGGCAGTGCGCGCCGAAGCTCTTGAGCCGGTTGTCTGGTCCAGCACGCTTGCTGGCGATGAGCTGGAGCAAGACGGCCTTTGACCACGCGGGCGGCATCCATGCCTTTTTGCAACGGCTGGCAGCGAGTCCCTTGGTGAGGAAGACGTTGCCAAATGCTGCGGCGATCTGCCAGCAGTACTTTGCGTTCCGCCGAGGCCAAAACGAATCGATTGGCAACTTCCTGGTACGGGAGACTTTGGTCCATGAAGAGTTCACGGAGGCGATCATCCGCTTGCATGAGGAGAAGCTAGGGATCTCCCAAGAGAAGAGAGACTTTGGCCTGCCACCGGTGGATGATGGCGGCGGAGAACAGTGGGGCTGGTGGTATGATGAGTGGAATGGCGAGGAGGACTATGACCAGGACCAGCGCGGAGAACCCGCCGAAGACATCGATCCACCCGAAGGTGAGCGTGCAGCGGATGAAGGACGTGAAACCGACCGAGATCGTGAAGACCCTCGTACCCCGCAACAGCGAGCGGCCACAGGTTCATCGCCCAGTCGACGAGATGGTTCACAGCGAGTTTCAACGCCAGTGCCATCTGAGACACCGGTTGTCCAGGAACCCATCGACGAGCTGTCGGTGGCGGACTCGTTCATCATGGGCGTGCTTCGTGGATGGAGGCTACTGCAAGCCGCCGGGCTGAGTGCCGAGGAGAAGCGTGACATCCTCAGCTCGACGAAGAACAGCCTGGACTACGAAGTTGCGGCATCGGCCTTGCAAAGCTTGTGGGATGAGCAGCTGCTTGGGCAGCGTGGTGGCGGCCATCATGGTGGTGGTGGCTACTCAGCCCACTTTGCGGAGTACGACGACCAGGACCACGAGGCCTACTACCAAGATTGGTGGGACGACGATGATGGCTGGTGGATGGACGGCTACTATGCCCAGGGCGAGAACGACTGGTGGACCGACGACTACCAGTACCACGAGAACTACCAGGCGGCAGCAAACGAACATCCTGATGATGGAGGCGTGGTCGATGAAAAGCTCCAGGAGCTACAGAAGGCGGAGAAGATGGCGGAAGCATTGGCCCTGGAAGCACAAAGGACGTGGAGCGATGCCCAGAAGGCGACCCAGGCCTTGCGGAAGGACAGAGGCTTTGGGGCCACGGCACAGATGGGTGGTTCGGGGCGATGCTACATCTGTGGCGGCAACCACTTCATGCGCGAGTGCCCTGACCGCCGTCACCCCAGCAAGGGCAAGAGCAAGTCCAAGTACGGCTACCACATGAGCGCCGACGACTTCAACGGCTACTACATCGGCAAGGGGAAAGGAAAGGCGAAGGGCAAGTCCAAGAAGGGCATGTGGCTGGAAGGACAGGCGATTTGGAAAGGGAAGAGCAAGGGCAAGAACAAGGAGAGTGGCCTGAGAACCGTGAATGCCTACGCACAAGACCTCTTCCTGGGAGGACTGGAGTTGACGGATGTGATGGAGATGGCGTCGGCAACCACTACGCCCTTGAGTCCCCAGCAGGGCATGATCGATTGTGGCGCCACGGCATCCGCGGCACCTGAGGCGGTAGTCAAGGATTTGATAGCAGCTGTTCTCACTCAGGACAAGGGAGCCCGCATCGAACTTGACCAGTCCTCGCGCCCGTATTTCAGGTTTGGCAATGGGAAGTGGGGACGTGCACTATGCAGAGTACATCTCACAAGTGATGTTAGTGGTAGCCCCCGGCACTTTTCCTTGTACACCCTTCCCAATCCTGCCGAGTATTACCAAGCTCAACTCGATAAGCAAGCCCTCGTGCCTGTCTTGGTTGGCATGGATTACCTTGGACGAAAGGGTGTTGGAATGATGATAGACTTTGCGACAGGCCTTGCCATGAACACCAAGGAGCCCAAACCTGAGATATATCAACTCCAAGTCAGCCCCAAAGGCCACTACACCCTTGACATTGTGGAGTACCTAACCAATGGCCAGCGAAATCTAGATGGACATGCCCAAGTACTTGTACGCCCCCAAGCAAGCCGTGGTCATGCTCATGTTGAACATCAGTTTCTGGAGCTAGGGACGCTGTGGATGAGCATGACGTGCAGGGACAAGGAACTCGATGAGCAAGAGTTGCAAGCTGCCAGGAATAGGATGTGGAGTATGTATGAACATGCGCATGCATGCCAGCTTGCGCAACCTGCTGCACCAACAGCCACGTCGGCTTCAATGTGTGGTGCTGCAGTAGCAACCCCATCCTCGACAACTTCCTCTTTTCGTTCTGTGCCTGATGGCGGCATATGCCCCTCGGCAGCTGGCGCCCGAGCAGGAGAAGATTGTGGTGGCCAGCATCAAGGAGAAGACCCCAAAGGCCAAAGCTCGACCGCTGGATCCGTCGAGAGCTCTGGAGGGCGACACGAGAGATCCGCGGGCATCATCAAAGCAGTGGCCATGCTACAACCGGCACGTGGCGGACACCCCCAAGCAGAACCCTCACGGCCAATGGACACATTGCGCAGTGCGCGACCTGAGGTTGTCCTACGTGCCAAGGAGCGGGTCACATGGGGCGACAACGATGGTGAAGAACCCCGAGATGGTCCGGCGGATGCTGACCGAGCTGCACCCCCTGATGGGCGACTTTCAGCCAACAGCGACTATATGTCGTGCGATGCAACGGAAAATCGATGCGGAGGAGCAGCTCACGGCGGCCATTTCCGAGGTGAAGAACCCTGGGATGAAAGTTCGCGCAACAACACGACCAACGCCGGCTACAACCTCGGGAAGCCCACTGACGACCGGCGAGTCATCGACGGGAAGCTGGCAACTGGCATCCGAGACCGAGGATCAGAATCTGGCAATGGCATACGAGATGGAGCGGGGCGGCCAGTAAGGGGTGAATACCGCTCTTTGCCGGCAAGCAAGTGATGAAGATGGCGACGCTGATGACGGCTGTGCTGGCCAACCACCTCATGGGGTTGCACCTGGATGGACGCGATGGTCTTTGGGAAGTAGCCTGTGCACCTCACAGCTGGTTGAGTGAAGCAGCCCACGAGCAAGGGTTGTGTCCAAGACGAATCAACCTCGCTGCTGGTTACGACCTCTACAAGAAGGAGACATGGTGCCGACTTAGGGCCTTACGTCAAGTACACCGACCTCGACGCATCTGGCTGTCCTTGCCATGTACCAAGTGGTGCGCTTGGACAACGGTGAACTACAACACGCCGGAGAAGATGGAGCAGCTGGAGGCGTATCGACGTCGAGAACGACGGCTCCTTCGTGAAGTACGATCCTTCGTCAAGGAAACCGTGGACGAGATTGAAGATGTCCAAATCTACTTCGAATGGCCGTACCCCTGTGCTGGATGGCGTGAAGAAGCACTCCCTGGGCCTACAACAAGACCTTGAACAACGTGGGGTTCCCTGGCTTTCCTGCAGAATTGATGGCTGTAACTATGGCATGAAGAATGCGACCGGTGATGCCTTCCTCAGGAAGAAATGGATGGTGAAGACCACGGACGAGCTGTTCCACAAGAACTTCAGGGCGAAGGTGTGTCCTGGGAATCATGTTCATGCTGTCATCGAAGGCCAGGAGACCGAGAAGTCCGCGTACTATCCTTGGAAGTTGGTTCAAGCCATCACACGTCATTGGAAATCGCAACATGTTCCAGGCCGGCATCTTCAAATGCTGTTCTCCCAGGAAAGTGTTCAGGACTCTGATGAAGAAGATGAAAAAGACGCCTTTGTCAGCCGCATCCCCAACCCTGTGGCTGAGCTGGACTCGGAGTTTGAGGCAAAGCTTGCTCTTGGCGAACAAGATTTCTCGTTCCAACGATGTGAAGCAATTCTGGTTCTGATGCAAGGAGCCAAAACAAGCCGTGGACCGATGAGATCGCGGGGAAGCCAGGCTGGAGTCACATATCAGATGTATGGGGCATACTCACATGGTGGCCTGCATGGGATAACCAAACATACCTGGCAACACCCCTGGACATGTCGCTACCTGAATGCCTTCCTCAGATCCCGAGTGCCGAACCAGACCTGGACTAGCATCATGATCGGCTACAACCAAAGGACACAGCCCCATCGTGATGTACACAACCTCAGAGAGTCCGTGAACATCCTGGTTGGTGTTGGTGCCTATGCCGGCGGGGAACTTTGGCTACATGGTGAAGCCCCACCTGGAGTACCGAAGGTGAGTAGATGGCATGGTGGGCAGCTTTGGAGCGGCTACGAGCTTTCCACAAGGAATCAAGTGGTGATCTTTGATCCTGACCAATGGCATGCAACGCAAGCTTGGACTGGATACCGGATCACCATCTCGGCTTTCACAACGCGGTCCATTCCACATTGGGATGCAAAAGAACTCAAGGATCTACGAGCTCTGGCGTTCCCACTCACTGGGGGAAATCTATGTCCCCTAGAATCTCATGGCGATCCACTAGAATCTCGTGGCGATCCCCTAGAATCTCGTGGCGATCCCCTAGAATCTCGCGGCGATCCCTCAGAATCTCGTGGCGATGAAGTACCAAAGCTTCTCGACGGTGGACCCGTGCCCAAGGCAGAGCTCGAACGATGGACCGCCAAGGTTGCCAAATTCCACAAATCTGCTGGTCACCCATCCAACAAGAACCTGGGACGTATCGTGCAAGAAGCTGGTCATCCTCAATGGAAGATTGATGTGGCCAAGCGATACCACTGTCCAGCATGTGCCAGTCTGAAACAAGGAGGCACAAGTTCGGGCCAGATACCGCCGGCAGCGACGCATCAGCAGTACGAAGCCTGGGAAGCTGTGGGTGTCGATGCTGGTGAGTGGGTGCCACCTGGAAGCAAGAAGAAGGTGAAGTTCATCCTCATGGTAGACCTGGCTACAAAACTGAGAGTGATACAGCCCATCATGATCTACGACCTGCTGCAGATGAAGAACGAGTCGGGCAGCGATTTGATCAAGGCCGTGTCTGAACGCTGGCTGTCGACCTTCCCAAAACCGCGAATCCTTGTGCTGGACTCGGCGAAGCCATACGTGTCGGAGCAAGTGCATGCCTTTGCATCGGCCATCAATGTGGGACTGCACTACACGGCCGAGAAAGAGAGCTGGGCGCATGGAGCAGTGGAGGCCTCAGTGCAAGATGTCAAATCTACAGCTTCAGCCATCTACCTTGAGAACATGGATCAGGATCTTGAGGTGACGCTCCACTTGGCTGTCGCCGCGCTGAACTCTACCGAGTACACTGCTGGCTTCTCCGCGTTCCAGTGGGCCTATGGCAGGAACTACAACATCACCGATGAGGATGTGCGCACGTTCCAACATGTGGACCCCAAGATCGACTTCGCCCAACTTGTTGTGGCTCGCCAGCGAGCAGAAGAAGTGGCACGCCAGACACGTGCCCGACGAGTTCTATCGAAGCTTGGCAACACCTCTGTGCGGCAACCCTTGCGGAACTACGAGCCCTTGGATTTGGTGAAAGTCTGGAGACGAGTCTGGCCGCAAGAACAATGCAAGGGACCTCGTGGCGGCTACAAAAAGTCCGGGAGACCTCACTGGATTGGGCCAGGACGTGTGGTGTTCTCTGAAGTGCTACCTCACCAAAAAGAATCTGGAGGAAAACGACACATTCTCTGGGTGTTGGTTGGAAATCAACTCCTACGATGTTCGGCGCACTCGGTGAGGCCAGTGACGGAGGTGGAGCGGTTTCAGTATGAGACCTCTGGGGCCGAGAATCCATCGATGTGGAAATCCCTGGCGGACATTGTGCCGAAGCGTGAGTACTATGACGTGGTGGATGAGGAGCCCGGAGAGAATGAGGTGGAGATGCAACGACTTCCGGAAGCACCCGATGATACGACGACGGTCGTGCCTACTCGCAGGGCCCGACGAAAGGTCACTTTCCAACCGGGTGACTACGTGGCGAAACCCGTGGGAGAGCGACTGATGGTGGACGATGGTGAAGACGAGGAACCAACAACGACAGCCACGACAACTTCCTCAAGTTCCACGAAACATGTTGGTGATGTGAATGATTACGAACTGCCGGAACCGAAGAGAGCTCGTTCGACAGCAGATAGTGGCGGTTCTGATGCAGCTGGTGAGAATTGGGTGGAACAGTTAATGCTGGAGGCGAAGCAAGAGGAGGAAATGGACCTCTTCAATGTGATGGACAATGTGGAGGAGTTCCTCAGAATTGAGTTCGACCTGGAGAACCACATGAGCAATCGACAGAAGAAAATGATGGAAAGGAACCCGGTGGCCTTCATGGTGAAGAAAATGAGGGACTGCGAGGTGAACATCAGCCGTCTACCCGAACATGAGCGACCGTTGTTCTCGAGGGCAAAGGCAAAGGAGGTGGACTCGTTCTTGAAGAATGAAGCGGTGAGGAAGTGCTTGGATGATGAGGAGATCAAGAAGGCCTACGAAAGCAGTCGCATCGTCAAGGCGCGCTGGGTGTTGACATGGAAACTGGTACCACCTGAGGACCGACAGGAGGCCCTTGATGATTCCCAGAAGAACCCGGCGACGTTGCACACGAAGGATGGCGCTCGAAAGGCCAAAGCTCGCATCGTATTACTAGGGTTCCAGCATCCAAGCCTGCTGGATCCTTCCTTCAAGACTGCGAGTCCTGTGCAGTCGAGTCTTGGTCGCAATCTCCTGTACACCATGGCGGCGCACCATCAGTGGGAACTTGAAGGGCTGGACTTGGCTACAGCCTTTCTGCAGACGCAACCCACAGAAGCAGATCAGGAGCTGTGGACGACAGGAGTGGAAGAGCTTCGTCAAGCACTAGATGTTGGTGTGGAAGGGATTATGAGAATCCTTCGGAACATCTACGGCAGCACGACGGCACCTCGTGGACTGTGGCTAGCTCTGCATAAGCGATTGACAGAGCTTGGAGCGCAACCGGTACTTGGGGAGCGATGCTTGTGGGTTTGGTTGTCAAAGACCGACATGGATGAGGACCACCCGAGATTGATTGGCAGCATGGGTGGTCATGTGGATGATTTTCATCGAATTGGCGATGGAACTTCGGCCGAGTGGTGTGAAATCAAAGAGAAGATCAACAATGCCTACAAGTGGGGAATGACAAAGAAGAACTCCTACCGCCATGCTGGAACTGATGTCACGACGGTCAAGGACAAGAATGGCTTCAACAAGATCGTGGTGGATCAGTCGTATTACATCGAATCGATTCAGGACATCGAGGTTGAGCCTGATCGTCTTCGACAAAATGGTCCTCTAGAACGACGAGAAGTGGAGGCCTGCCGAACCACGCTGGGAGCACTCCAGTGGGTGGCCATACAAACCCAACCTCAGCTAACAGCCCGCTGCAACCTTCTTCTCACAGAAGTGGTGACGTCCGGAACCCTGGAGACCGCGCGGGAGATACAGATGATGGTGGGAGAAGTCAGACAGAATCCAGTAAAGCTGGAGTTCAAGAAATTTCCCCAGGCCAAGCACTGGACGGAGGTAGTCTTCATCTCCATGGGCGACCAGGCGCACAACAACCGGCCGAAGGGTGATTCAACCGGTGGCTTAGTGACGTTGGCTGCAGGACCTGAATGTCTGAGTGGCCAGGTGTGCGAGATGTCATTGCTGGCATGGCGCAGTTGGAAGTTGAAAAGGAAGGCGATTGGATCGAACGACGCCGAGGTGCAGTCGATCTTGGAGGCGGAAGATCATAACTTTCGGACGAGATTGTTATGGTCGGAGCTTCATGGAGCCGGAGGACTACAACATCGCCGTGAACTTCGTCGCGATTTGGTGGAGCTCACGGAGAAGCAAGTCCTGAAGGTGAAGGGAGTGTTATGCACAGACTCCCGAGGAGGCTACGACGCAGTGGAGCTGAATGAGTCGCCGTTGCTTGGGCTGAGCAACATGCGCTCGGCATTGCAGGCGTTC